TCCCACAGCGACCAATTCCCAGAATTGGCCGGATGTTTACAAACAACATCCATGTTTTCTCAAAGGTAAAACGCTGGTTTCAACGGTTTCAAGCCTAAACTTAGTAACTTGGCCTGAAATTCATCCATTCGATTGCTTATCCCGGGCAAAAACCCGCGGGATGAAAAAATAGTCTTCCCAATGGTCTTGGAACCTGGATGGTCTGAAAATTGGGCAGCCCTTTCATCATTTGGGGATCATTGAAAATGGAAATGAACATCATTTGGCCCATGATCAATCCCATTCAATCCCCCATTTTCAGACAGACCCGTTTTCCGAGCCCCTTCCGAGCCCCATGAGCCCCATGAGCCATGTGACATTTCAGAATGGAGGGTACCCTTCGGTACATTAGTCAAACCTGGTTTGCTGGAAACGCTCCCATTTAGTTTGATGATGGTCCTATTTAAACAATTTAAACCGTTTGTAGGAGATTCCCCTTCTAGCCATGTTTGATTACCGGAGGGTATTCTGAATCCACAGGTCGCACCTCTTGTTTTGGCTGCTAAGCTCACTGCTTTGCATCGGCGCGGTGCTGGTCATCAAGCACTGCTGGCTGGAATTTGTTGGAAAAACTGCTGGAAATCTATGGAAATCTGAGGCGTTCACCATCAAATTCCTCAACCATAATGGTGGAATGACCATGGAAAACAGCCAGTAATATACAAGAAAACTGTAGGGATGTTTATGGGTTTTGATAGGGATTTGGGAGAACTAACCGTTTCCAGAATCATTTGGGCGTGTCTGAAAATGATAAACAAGTGGATTTAGGGGTCCCCTATTTTCAGAAGCCCATGATGGACCCCTGTTGGTTGATCCTGATGAATGGTATCCACTTCAGCCGTAAAATGGGCTGAGACCGCGGACACTAATAGCAAGATGTTACAATTTATTTGGAAACGAGGCATTCCAGTGGAAGATACTGGCGATCTAAGCTGTCCTTGGAGCGGTCGAAGTTGATGATTTCATGATGTAATCTGAATCCAGGTCGCAGAAGACATGGTAAATTCACATGCAAGTTCTGCGTTTTTTTTGTTTTTCAGGGTTCCAAGTGTGCAAACAAAAACTCAAGGTTATTCAGACTATTCTTATGAGAATCTTACCAGCAAACTCTGTGGGTCGTTGAATATTTATTTTTGTCATTTGGTTGTGCATTTGTTTGTCATTTCTGTTTTGCGCTGTCATTTTTTTGTCGTTTTCTCATCCGGCGCGGGTGGCTGGACCCGGAGCCGACCTGGAAAGTCGAAAAACGTCATTTTGCCAGCACATGAGTCATTTTTTTGCATTTTTTGTGCATTGTTTTTGGATGTTTTTTGCATTTTTTGGCATTTCCCAGATGGGGAGACATTTATTCGGCATTATTTTTGCATTCCCAAACCAAAGTGACAAAGAAATGACAATAAAAGACAACACAAATCCAAAATGATAACCTGAATGACAAAATAGTTATTTTTGATTTTCCAATGTTTGCAGGCCCAAGAAGTTCCTAAGACTATTCATTATGGGTTTGGATTTATGCACTGGATGGCGGTGGTAAATCAATCGGACACCATAACTTGCCTCTCCGAGTTTGGATTTTAGATTATCCAAGGGTCCAAGGGTAAGACTCCGGGGAAGAGGAAAGATGATGGGTTTGAGCTGTCCAATTAATATGTCGCCGCAACATAATTCTTTGTCTTCAAGAAGCGACAATGGATGTTTGTCTCTCTTGGGTGCATCCCAGATCTTGAAAGCTTCGTCTCTGAGGGAGACCAGGGCCTGTTGAACACGCGGGAAGTTCCAGAAATCCATGGTGAGGTTGGAAAACCATCAAGTGCTTGGTGGTTCTCAAGATTCTGATGTTTCAACCTGTTGAAAAAAAACACCGCACGGACATCTTTACATCTCACATTTTGATGAGGAATAGAGTAATTGCCTCCAATTCCATTGGATTAGAACATCATTTCCATATTTCCCCGTTCAAAATGGCCATAAATGGGGGCATGCCAAATATGTTCAGACCCATGGCTGTTGAATGCTGTTGAGCTTGCAAGTGCCATGGCTGCCTTGGTTTAACCCCAAGGGATCATCACTGTGCCAGGCATTGCCTGACCTTCGAATTGAAGGGCGAGCCATTGGAGGACCTGGGGCGATACATGGGGTCAAAATATGGCAAAATTAAAAATCATTGCAGTTTTTGAAGAGAATATGAAGATTGACCATGGCAAAAAACGTGGGTTTTCCTCGGAAAAAAATCAGTGACCCGTTTGTCTTCAGTCGACCGGTCGACCTCCAGACCGGTGGTTCACCTTGGTTGGAAGCGAGGACGTGGTGTTGAAACGCGGAGACCTCCGGATGAAGAGGCGACCGAAGATGAACCTCTGAGCTGGAATCAGTCACAGTGCCACTTGGAGAATCATCGGATTAGTTTGGTTTTTTTTCCATGAATTTTCCAGCATGCCATGTTTGAAAGTTTGATTTTTTCCAGCATGCCATGCTTTGCCCCCTCTAAGTCCCTTGGAGGCCTTCGCTGTTGACACCTAACACCGAGAAGCGAATGTCTGGGCCCTGGCAAGTCATGAGAAGATAGGATATGGATGGATATGGGCCATATGGGTATGGTCAAAAACCATGAAGAGCCTATGTTGCACTGGTGACCCTGGTGAACACCATCAAATGGCTACCTTAAATGGATGCACATGGATTTGTCCCATGGTCGAAAGTTGGATTACAGTATGTATCCATACAATGGTCATACTACGATTTGTAAGAAATGGTAATGGCCAGTGTATCAGGATTTGCATCGATTCGCAGCATGGAATTATACGTGTATCTATATATATAATTATATATATATATATTATTTTATTATATTTTAATTATATAATGATTATAATGGTAGGATGATTATAATCCATTAATCCCATATTTGTAGCATGGCACATATGGGTAGCGTTTTTTTTTAAACGTGAAATGTGTGAGTCGCATAGGTGAACCATGGCTCCATCAGGCCCAGAAGTGCTCGGTACACGGCATCAACGCAGGCGCATCTTTGCGCAGTGTTCGTTGTTGGTTTCAGCAGATGACTTCACCGCAGGTCTCCCATTTCCCTTCATAAATATGAAAGTGTTTCAGGTGAAAGCACCGACCACACCTCGGAATTGGACCAATTTTGGGAGCCGCTAAGGCAAAGTCACAAGGTGCGAGTATTCACAATGATTCATGCCCTGAAAGGTGGGTTCCAGACCAACCGATCAATTTTGTGGGTACTTTGGGCCTCAATCTCTGCCCTATTCCTCTACCAAGAACTTTTTCCTTGGCTAGGAGATCTCGTGGAAGAAAGAGGCGGCGTCCATGAGCGTTTAGCAGCGGGCGACTTCGTTGATCTGGTAGATGCTGGTGGAAATGGCAAACTGGATGATGACCTCATAGACGTCCCAGTGCACATTTGGAGAAGTGCAGAATGCGCTTACTTATAAATGAAGATATGAAGATCGTGGCCGTTGACAAAATGTAATGCAAGCCATTTCTTCAATTATTAATATTACTATTACTATTATTACTATTAATTTTTGTTTTCTTTACGGTTACTATTACTAGTACTAGTACATACTAGTACTATTACTATTACCCTCTGGTAATTTAACATAGCTATGGAAAATCCACCCATTTTTAATGGGAAAATCCACTATTTCTATGGCCATTTTCAATAGCTATGTTAGTCATTACCAGAGGGTACACCGCTATTGCTACTGCTACAGAAAAGCGGTATTTCCCCAGCAGCGGTGACCTGTGGTCACCAAAGAACGGAAAAGTACGTACGTACTTCAAGATGGGATGGCTGATGATAGTGATAAAGAAATATCATGAGACAATATGACATATATAACTACGTATAGAATATATATATATATATATAAGTTTATTTGTATATATATATGTAGATTATAATATATCAATATGACTATATTATAACTAGTATTACTTTTTAATTTAAAGATGAGGCAGGAGAAACAAGCACCTTCAATGCTTCCTGGGTGTTTTCCCCATACCTGCAGCTGGTCTGAAGTCATCAACTAGCTTCGCAGCCTTTGAGGCGTAAAGAAATCGCGGATTCACCCCCCAATTTATTCCGATTCAATGCATGTTTTTTTTGAATACATGAATAAATGATGGTTGCCCAGTTCTTGTTTATGGTACCAACACGGTGATACTTAAATGGACTTAAGATGACTCAAGTATCTTCTCCACTCCGCTAGCCTAGACCATGAGTTCTTTTTGGAATGCTTTGGCATCCCCTTTCTGGGGCAAAAACAACGTAAATCACATGGTATTGTCCAAGTTCTTGGACCCAAACTTGCAGATACAAACGCAGCACATTGTGGCTATAGGTCATGATTGACTTCCCAGAGGGTTTCGGATCCTGAATCAGAAATCAGCCTATTGTGGATCCTTAAAGGTCCCCATGGACCAATACCCATGAATCCCATGAGCTTACTGCCTTTGGTTTGTCCGGAGCGGTGGGTCTGCACAAATCTTTTGCAAACGTAGACACCAAGAAGATTTGTTCACAAAAACGCATTATGATAAGATCTACACACGATAGAATATAGTATAGTATCGTATATACTATACTATAGTATAGTACAGTAACATACAGTATAGTGCAGTATAGGACGAGGACAGTATATTACAGTATAGTAGAATGTAGTATAATGTAGTATAATTTAGTATAATGCAGTATAATGTAGTATAATGTAGTATAATGTATAGTATAATGATAAGTATAATGTATAGTATAATGATTAGTATAATGTATAGTATAATGATTAGTATAATGTATAGTATTATGTAGTATCATGTATAGTATAATGATTAGTATCATGTATAGTATAATGATTAGTATAATGTATAGTATAATGTAGTATAATCATGTAGTATAATATGATATGATATCATAACTTCTAACATGGACGGAATTCAGGGCTCAAGGCGCTTCCGCCTGTGATTCGACGCTGCCCCTTTTTCGGTGGCTCCGCAGGGCAGGCGCCGATGCATCCGTTGCGCAGTTCAGTGACCCCATGGGCAATAATTCGTTGATGGTTGATAAGCTTTGGTCACCGAACTGGGGTTGAATCTCCATGAAAAGCAGAGATCATTCCCAAAAAAAATAGCATTTGATGGTGAAATTAAGCATGAAATTGCATTTGTATAGAGATTCAACGGCTTTGTAATGGAACAATTGTATATATCATGTACATGTTCAGGGTTGCTGCACCCCATGATAGGTAATCGATAGCCACAACAAGGGGGCAAATTGTCATTGTACCTCTTTATCCAGGTTCCCCCCAGATGTATCTGGGGTGGCCAGGGAGCAATCCTGAAACTATTTGCTTTTCTACCTCTCTATTCTGGTTGGGACCCGCCATGTCAATGGGAATTTCAGGATCCTAAAATGGAGGTACCTACCATATATAAGGCCTATATAAGGCCATGTAAGGGGATATCCCCCCAAAATATGGCCTTATATGGTACAGTACCTCCATTTTAGGATCCTGGAATTCCCATTGACCATGTTAATGGACCACATCACCACAATTGTCAGATGCGCGGACGGCAGGCATGGGTGAAAGAAGACATACCATTTTGTTAGTGCAGCAGGGCGCCCGGTGGCATGGTGGTGATGCGTCAACGTTGATGGTTACATCTGTGCTCTCTCTCTCTCTCTCTTTCTCTGAATATAGATGATATACATGTGCTTGTGTATATGCAATCATAGTCATTTGAACAAGAAAACACATTATAGATACCAATGAAATACACACATTGAATTGGGGATTGCAGAAGATTGTCTATACAATATCTATATAGTATATATATATATTATCATACATGTTACATGTGAGTTTGTAAAGATGTGTGTATATAGTAGAATAGTAGATACACTATTAAATAATTTTTATGTATATATGCGGATGATCAATAGGCATGGACTGCCTAGTATAAGCTCGTTGTCCCCGAGACATTCCTGGGCTGCGAGGTTTGATGATTCAAAAGACGCAAAGACCTATATGGATTATCCTGGAGTTCGAGAGGACCTCCACAAGCTGTGAGTTTTCTCGGAGGGACTGGCTGACCGGGCTTATCAAGCCAGTAAGTCACCGGAATGACTATCAGCGAGAACTGCTATGGGTATCTATATTCTCTCTTAAATGAGTATCCAAGGAGCTAGGAATTCCGAAACCACATGATCAATCCGTTGAGTCAATGGATCGTTGTTGGTGAAGCACTTTGGGCCTTCCTAAAAACCCCTGAGTTACCATCACGTCTGTTATGGGTTTGCTCGGAATGGTTTGCTCGGAATTCGGGCACTTCAGTGCATTCCACTGGCTAAGCATCATGTTCCATGTTTGTTTGCAGACGAAGTCAGATAATAATTCTATTCAATTCTCCCACAACATCCGCATTTGATTGTCCCCTGAATAAACGATTTCTGGCGCACAGGCCATGGATGGTGTTTGCCAACTCTATGAGCAAAGCCTCAAGGCCGAGATGGGGTAGATATCTACCATTGCTGCCATTGGAATTTAGCTACATGAATGGATGGCGCTGAACTTAAATGTAAGTTCTTATACATATGTATGGCTATATATATAATATATATACATATGGATATATATATATAGATATTAGTTAATAGTTGAATACATATATATATACATATTTATTTGTTGGTTCGTTTAATTATTTATTATGCATATGCATATATATATATACATATATATATATAGAAATATAGAATCGACTAAACATAGGGAGAGGGAATCCATGCATATCTTGTATGGCAACCGTTTGAAGTATTGGGTTTGTGGTTTCCAACAGTTTTTCATACCACGGAAAGGAAAGAAAGGAAAGGCACCAGGACTAGAAAAGCTTGTCAGCCCCAAGTCACCAAGTCATCCCTCTGGGACTGGCTTTTGATTTGGGTGCATCAATAGGGGAGCGCAAGATCCTTTACTCTCCCGAAAACGAACATTTCACAAAAAATATATATAAGAAACAATGGGTTCCATCTTAGCGCACCCATGTTAAAATTCGCAGGATAAGTGCCAGGTCGGTGCCATGTTAGTGCTGGTGAATTTGGACATGTTGGTGCCATGTTCGGACACGTTTTGGCTGCTTGTCTAACATAGAACCCCACAAGCTGCCATTGAGTGCTCATCCAAAGTTCCATGTGTTCCATGTTAGCCATGGCGGCTGACACGGGGAATTCGGAAGCATCATGCCCTTTATGGTGATTGATGGATGCAAGATGCTACATAATAGCTCTTTTCTTTTGACTCAATGAGTGATTTTGTCCAAGATGAATTCGAAAGCACAAATTCTGAAGACAATTTTAAACACATACAGTACATGTCAAAAAACACACACAAAACATATCCTCAACACATCTTAAGAACACATCGAAAACATGTTCAAAACGTAAAGAGCAAACAAAAATATATATTCAATATACTATATATATATGGCTTTTCAATTTTTAATATGTTACACAAGTAGCTTTCTCCCATTTTCCCACCATAAATGTGACATTTCTCATTTTCTCGTTGCGGCTACATGCGGCTTGACTGTTCAAATCAGCAGATGGGTAATTGTCAAAATATACATTCCCTGGTAATATGCATCGCTTGCTGGAAAATCCCCAATTTATAGAAGACTTTCCCGTTAAAACGAGTTAACGCCTCCATTTAGTTCTGGGTTTCCCAGCAGCGTGCCATATTTAAACCCAGCCCTTCCTGGGAGACGTCCGTCATGGTTTCAACAGGCAATGAATCCGGGCCTACGGAGCACCACCTACGATGTGAACGACCTGTTCAGCCTCTGGGATGATTGGAGATGAGATTGGGGTCCGGTATTATCATTGGGATATCTTGTGTGCTTATATCATTGCTTGCTAGGATTGTATGCGTCTACTATGATTAAGTGCATATAAAAAAAAACAACAACAACATTTACGTTATATACGGTTATATACCTATATACATATATATATATCACACACACATATTTATATACTCATACATTACATATGATATATATATATATAGTTATTATATGTCGTGAGTAAACATATATGTATATATATATATGTATATTGTGATCTGGATTGTTCTGGGTTGTAAGTTCTTAGGCTTGTAACCGTGATCATAAATCATGTAGGCTGGTGCAAGATCCGTATTCATCGGAAGTGCGTGGGTGAAAGATTTGGCTCTGCAAAACCGCAGGAAATGTCCTTAACATGATGGTCGCAGGAATCGTAAATGGGGAACCGAATCATCATTGAAGATCCAGTAGCCCAGTCATATGTGGGATATACATGGAATTTCAATGAATTACATGGATATATTTTGTACATGGGATATTAACCATTCACTAATTGGGCCCCGATGGTCCCGGACCTTCCTTCATACCCACGTATTCAGTATACGATAGTATACGCACCTTTGCCTCTACACACAGACAGATACATGTGCATGTGCGTGATGCCGTGAACCGTGAACATGTTTATTTGCAATTAAGTCGTGTTTCTCGGGTACCCAGATTCAAATCACAGCGGGTAAAGAGCGATCATTCACGACCCTTTTTGTACCTTACCTTCCTGTTCTCACCGCCTCTTTGTGGGGTTGAACATTCAATGTCTGGCATACGGATTGAACTTGGCTAGTGCTTCTCATTCGGATGGTACATATTTGGAACAGAGATCATATTCTGTTATTTGCTTGGTTTCATTCCGGTTCCCCGGAAAATCTCCCAGTGTCATTGGTTCTGGGCACACCTTGGTTGTGTAGGTTAATGGGTGATTCGTTGCAATAAGGTATTTAAAGGTATATTAACATTAAAACATTGACTATCCTCCTAAAACAAAAAGAAAGCGTTTTCCCCATTATCCTTGGGTGAACCTGAAAATATAGATTCGCCATGGATATCCAAGAGCATCAAGCGTATCAATTAAAGAAAACACCGGCAAGAGACCCCAAACAAGGGGGGGTAGGAAGTCAATGTACCAGATACAAGCAACAGTAGCCAGGAACAGTAACAGATCAGGTTAGACATTCTCGGAACTGCAGTAGCAGGAATTTGCTTTGGCGCAAGAAGCAACGCCATGTCTACTCATCAGGACCTCATACCAGAACCGCATACCAGGACATCTAAGAGACTTTCAAAAGATCGTCAAAGAAGGACCTTCTATATAGAGGATCTCACAAGATCCTCAGACAAGAACTTCCTATCAACATCCCAGAAGAACTTTCATACAAGCACCAGCGCAGGGCATCTTCAAAATCTTAATGCAAGGACCTCTTGAGGATGATTTCAGCAGGATCTCCACAAGATCTTCTCACAAGGACCTGTACGAGATCATGCAAGGACTTCTTAGAGGATGTCAGCAGGATCTTCGCCAGATCTTCTCTAAGGACCTGTACAAGATCATTCAACCCAAGGACCTCTGACAGAATTTCATCAGGATCTTCACCACAGCTTCTCACAAGGACCTCTACAAGAACCTTGGTGAAGATCTTCGTATATCACGGACCTCCAAGACTGCACCATGAAACTCTCGCAAGATCGTTAGACAAGGACCTTGCAGAGAACTCAAAGTATCTCCTTGCCAGGATCTCAAAGAATCAGCTAAAATGGGCACAGCGTCACAACAAGAGCAATCCGGCACGCCCAAAGTTCTGAGACGGTTGCGCGGGCGATATCAAAAAATGAGCACCGGGTTACAACAAGAGCGATCCGACACGCACAAAGTGTCGAGAGAGTTGCGAGAGGGACATCAAAATTTGCCCCGCACCACAAGGAGAGCGATCTGACACCCATAAAGTCACGAGATGGTTGCGCGAGGGACATCAAAACTTGCACCATGCCACAATGAGAGCGATCTGATGAGGGTTGCGCGAGCACATGTTGGATTTTCACAAAACATTGTGCGGACCACGGAAAACGAACATTGAAAATATAAAAACAATGGTTTTATCGCGTGTAGAAAACATGTCGCTTGCCACGAAAAATGTGCCCGAGGCATCTGAAGTGTTGCACCTGCGACACGGAATCATCATCATGTCCAAAATCGAAAATGACGACAGTTTCACAAGACGAGACTTTCGACCCTTTCAAAACGTCGTCCAAGTTCACCCAATACTGCGCCTGCCATGCAAAATGACCTCTAAAAACATATCTCATTTTGACCGACGCCTGCCAACGTCTGAGCAACGTCAAGAAAGTGCCGCGCCTGCCACGCGCATGAAAACGTGCTCGACGTCCTGTCACGCACAACGACGTTTTATTCCGCAAAGGGCCAAAATTGCCACGCTTGCCACAAAAACGAGCACGGCACGCTAGTAAAATGACACCTTCTGAAAAGCCACGACCGCGGCGCTCATCTTGTGCGAGCCTGCGCAGTCGAAATGCACATGGACATCTCAAGGGAATTTGCACGAGAATCTACAATGAAAGAGCCGGGAACCAGAGAGCGTACCCTGATCTAACCCTGGTCCTTTGACTCCCACCGTAAGAATCCCTCAGCCAGTGCGGACACAACGTTTGGGGAAAAATGTTCTTCCATGTCGAGAAATGTGGTGAGCCCAATTTCAAAAACCATCCCTATATAATAACCATTCTTATTGGTGGTATGTTCACCATCCCATTCAGCATTATGAACCAACATCAACTGGTATTTTCATCATTATTATTGACCTGTCTTAACCAATACCAACCATTATTAATCACTGGCCAGTTCTATTCGCCATGCTTTCGCATGGTTTAGGGTATCTACGCTTTGCCATGGTCCCCGCAGCGGAGGCTTCGTGGATGCTGTGAAGGACCTGAGTTGCTTGGTGTTCAACCCCAGATCGCTGCTTGGCGACCGTGATCCGGAAACTGGGGATGCTCGGAGACATAGAAAATAGTACACGGTAAATGGTGATATCATATGGGAAACTGGTACATATATTCAAGAAGAATTTGGGTAAATGTGTTTTCGGAATAATGTCTGAATGGATGTAAATGTTGATATCATATGGGATATAATGGGGAAATCATGGGTAGATAACGGGGTTTTGTCAGTAAATAATGGGATATATATATATATTATATATATAATATATATTTGTATATATAGTGATATAATGGGGAAATACTGGGGATCTTACCTTCAGGTCATCTAACATGCTGCGACATGTGAAATATGTGAACCACCATTCGAACAATAGGTAAATCATGGAACTAAATGGGCCATGATTTCCATATCCATGTTATTTTTTTGAAGCGTAATGTCCAGTGGTTCGCTTGTTTCTTTTTTCAGTTTTATTTAATTACTGTTTATAGTCATAATATATAATGTGTGATACAGATTAGTGTGGGGATACAGAATTGTGTCCACAGACTCCAAAATTATTTTGTATCTTTGGAAATGATCGAGGGGTACAGTTTTGTGTCCACAGGATTTTGGTGTAAGTTTTTTTTTCATTTTTTGTTTTTTAGTGTTTAATTGTTTTCTATTTTTATTTTTAATTAAAATATTTTTTATTTTTAATTTAATTAGTTTTTATTTTATTTTAAATTATTTTTACTTTTATTTTTAATTATAATAATTTTTAATTTAATTATTTTTTGTTTTATTTTAAATTATTTTTTATTTTTAATTATAATGTTTATTTTATTATTTTAATTTAACATGTTTTAAATTGTGTCAGGATACACAATTGTGTCATTGTGTCAGGATACACAATTGTGTCTTGGTCTTGTTTCTGTTTGTTCAAACATTTTTCATTTTTTTCAGTTTTTAAAGTTTTTTTCTTTTACTTTTTATTTTCCATCATTGAAATTTTCCTGATGCCTTCCACAGAAAATTAGATCCAGGTACACAATAGTGTGGTTTGTTTGGAGGGTACACTATTGTGTCAAGCTGCTTTCCTGAGGTCATGATTTTTTGATTTGTTCAATCATTTCCTTTACCTTTTCCTTTGCTAAAGTTTTTTCTTTTAATTAATTACTTTCTTAGTTTCTTTCATTTGAAATTCTCAGAAATGCCCAGTTTTCCAAAATATATGATGCCTTATTAAAACCCAATTAAAACACATCACGCAAATAATTTTTCAAGGGGGTAGTCCATGAGCAACCCTGATACATAATAGTGTGGTTTGTTTGGAGGGTACACTATTGTGTCCAGCTGCTTTCCTGAGGTCATGATTTTTTCAATCATTTCCTTTACCTTTTCCTTTGCTAAAGTTTTTTCTTTTAATTAATTACTTTCTTAGTTTCTTTCATTTGAAATTCTCAGAAATGCCGAGTTTTCCAAAATATATGATGCCTTATTAAAACCCAATTAAAAAAAATAACTCAAACAATTTTTCAAGGGTGTAGTCCATGAGCAACCCTGATACACAATAGTGTGGTTTGTTTGGAGGGTACACTATTGTGTCCAGCTGCTTTCCTGAGGTCATGATTTTTGTTTTTTTCAATCATTTCCTTTACCTTTTCCTTTGCTAAAGTTTTTTCTTTTAATTACTTAATTACTTTCTTAGTTTCTTTCATTTGAAATTCTCAGAAATGCTCAGTTTCCCAAAATACATGATGCCTTATTAAAACCCAATCAAAACACATCACTCAAACAATTTTTCAAGGGGGTAGTCCATGAGCAACCCTGATACACAATAGTGTGGTTTGTTTGGAGGGTACACTATTGTGTCCAGCTGCTTCCTGAGGTGATTTTGTTTTTTTTTGCAATCATTTCCTTTACCTTTTCCTTTGCTAAAGTTTTTTCTTTTAATTACTTAATTACTTTCTTAGTTTCTTTCATTTGATATTCTCAGAAATGCCCAATTTCCCAAAATATATTATGTCTTATTAAAACCCAATTACAAAACATCACTCAAACAATTTTTCAGGGGGGTAGTCCATGAGCAACCCTGATACACAATAGCGTGGTTTGTTTGGAGGGTACACTATTGTGTCCAGCTGCTTCCTGAGGTGATTTTGTTTTTTTTCCAATCATTTCCTTTACCTTTTCCTTTGCTAAAGTTTTTTTCTTTTAATTACTTAGTTACTTTCTTAGTTTCTTTCATTTGAAATTCTCAGAAATGCCCAATTTTCAAAAAAAAATGATGTCTTATTAAAACCCAATTAAAAATCATCACTCAAACAATTTTTCAAGGGGGTAGTCCATGAGCAACCCTGATACACAATAGTGTGGTTTGTTTGGAGGGTACACTATTGTGTCCAGATGCTTCCTGGTGTGATGTTTTTTTTTCAAGCATTCCCTTTACCTTTTCCTTTGCTAAAGCTTTTTTCTTTTATGGTATTTCTATGGTATTACTATTGGATTTCTATGGAATTCCTCTGGGGTTTCCATGATGTTTCTATGATATTTCTGGAGGATTTCTATGGGATTTCTGAAGGGGTGCTATGGGAGTTCTATGGTATTCTTATGGGATTTCCATTGGATTCCTATGGGATTTCTATGGTATTTCTATTGGATTCCTATGGAATTTCTATTGGATTCCTGTGGGATTTCCAAGGTATTTCCATGATGTTTCTGTGATATTTCTATGGGATTATTATTGGAATTCTCATGGGATTTCTTTTGTGGTTCCTATGCTATTCCATGTTATTTCTATGATCTTTCTATGGGATTTCTGTGAGATTCCTATTGGATTTCCATGGTATTTCTATGATATTTCTTTGGGACTACTATTGGATTTCTATGGGATGTCGATTGAAAGTAAATTGGCAGTAAATTGAAATCAATTGAAAGTAAACTCAAAGTAAATTGAAAGCAAATTGAAAGTAAATTGAAATCAATTGAAAGTAAATTGAAATCAATTGAAAGTAAATTGAAATCAATTGAAAGTAAATTGAAATCAATTCAAAGTAAATTGAAATCAATTCAAAGTAAATTAGTAAATGGAAATCACTTGAAAGTAACTTCAAATCAATTGAAAGTAAATTGAAATCAATTGAAAGTAAATTGGAATCAATTTAAATCTATCAATTTTTTTTGATTTCACACTATTGCGTACCCGGTACTTTGTTTTTTACACACTGTTCTGTACCCCAAATTTGTTTAGCGGGGGGGGCCTCCCCACACCAATCTGTATCCTACATTATATATATATATATATTAAGTAAATATATATATATTAAGTAAATATATATATATATTAAGTAAATATATATATATATATATATTAAGTAAATATATATATATATATATATTAAGTAAATGTATATATATATATATGTATATACATACATACATTTTTTGTTACCTCACCAGTTGCCAACGGATCCAAAGGGGAAAACTTGTCAGTACGCGATGTTCCTATTAGAAAGGACTGGAAATCCTAGGGAGTTTGCTCGGGATGTCATCTGTAAATGGGGCTGGTTTGTGCAATTGGAACCCCCATTCCAGTTTCTTGGTCAAAACATGATGTTCCTCCCCCACCCAACCACTCATACATACACACACAGGGTATCCCCAAACAGGGCATCCCCAAACTTCATTGACATCCTTATAATGCGTTTAGATCATATATGCCGTGGGAAAACAAAGAGTGCCCCCTTTGCAATCCACTGTGCAGAAAGGTTTTGATCGAGAGTTGAAGGCAGCAACTAGAATCAAATGTTCATTCATATTTCAAACCTAAAGTGTAAAATGTGATGAATCAAATCCCATTTACATCCATTTACCCAAATTGACTATCTGTGGGGTATGAAATTCCAGATTCCACTTGAATTTGATTGAAAGGCTACCCTGCTGGTTGAAAGGATATTTATGGATATCTGCTTGGGGGGTTCAAGGTTCGTGGGAAGATAATCCCCAAGGGATGTACATGTCAGGGGATCTCGGATGCAGTAAACCTGCTATGCACCATATGGGATTACGAATCTCAGGAGTTTTTTGATCCGCATTGAGTGGACTCAGCCGTTCACCTCCCAAGGGTGACTTTGAAGCATCATCCCAATCATTGGCCAAGAATACGGGTGATTTTAAGTCCCACGAATCCTGCATTCCTGGGTCTGGGTAAAAGCCCAGTGGATCGGTTCCAGCCATGTTGGTCCCCGCTCGTTGGTCCTCAGGAACGCATATGTGCCACACAACAAGGACTGGATCAAGGTGCATGGTGAATGATGGTGAACCTGGAGAATAACATGTCCCTCTAACGCTAGCAACAATCCGTTTAGAAACACCAAACTTTAGTGCTGCGTCTATTCAGTTGCGGTCCCATTGCGGGGGGTATCGGGATCATACTCCATGCAGCTGATGTGATGACTGTTCTGTTCGTACCATTTCCATCCATTTCCATGGAAGATCGTCATCATCACAGGCTAAAATTTAGAAACTCCCTTGGTTTGTTCATATTTGTTCTAGTGTCGTAAACCCAATAAGAAACATAGCATTTAGGGGATGGTTATAGCGCCCATTTGTGGTGATTTTCTATATAAGTTGGCCGATGGATGGCTGAAGGTGGTTTGAAGGAAGCTGGTGGACTGGACGACTGCAGCGGATCACAGGTTGAGGTCTTCAACCATCTGAAGTCGCAAGTGAAGTCCTGAGATGGAAGCATGAAGAAACAACATTTGGAAAATGATGGCCACGAAGTTCAGCAGCTTGTGGTTTCAAAGTTCTTTCACTTTCAAGGTATGACTAGACCCACTTGACTAGTCGTTTTTGGTTTGGTTTCCAAAACATCCAGGTATCAAGGTGTTTCCCTGGATTTGTGGATGCATCATGAAGTCATATAATTATTCGGACAAGGATATCATCTTGGGCCAGAGCAGCAGTACTGCACATCATCTCAAGCAGACGAGTCAATGTACGTCACCCTGAAATCCACGGTTATGGTCCCTCAGAGTGAGGGATCCCTACCTGTTGTAGCCCAGCTATGTTTTTCCTCTCGAAATGAAGAACAGCAATGCGAGAGGAAAAGGAAGTGGCAGCAGCCTGAAAAGTTGGACATACATACACCTCCTTTTTTTCTGCAGTTTTCTTTAAGATCGGATCCACCGGTTGCATTTGATAAAAGCCCTACGTTCCCATGCCGTGCCCTCGTGGCTCCAGGTCATTCCAGTAGAGTAGGACAGTAGGACATGTCTTTTCCCATGGGGTGCCGTTTGTGTATGTTCCTTGCACTGTGCAGTTGATCAGCTTCCTGACACATCAGAGTCAATTCATATATCAGTTCATCATTAATCTAGAAATCTTAAGGCTGATGTGTGCAGACATTTTTTTGCTTTTGCCACTTGCCACAGGGGACAGCAACAGACAATTGTCTCTCAGATCCCTGCTGAATCCCATTGCGTTCTTTGGGAGGCATGGCATGGTGGCACGGGACCATCCTGGACACAACGACCTCTGGTCAGTAAGGGAAATCATCCCCCCAAATCTCCGACTTTTCGGTGGTATAATTATAAAATAGTATAATTTTGCCATAAATTTACTGGAGAACAAGTGCCCTTCGAGAAGCCTTGCAGAGCCATTCCATTGTGATCTGCACAGACTGAATCGCACAACACAATAGAATTGCAAACAAACTACTGTAGAACACATCGCCTTGATGCACCAGTTCCACTGCACAAAGTGATTTAACACATGCAAAACACAATAGCACAGCATCAACAAAGAAGAGAAAAAAGTAACCTGGAACCCTCAGTTACATTGCGCGCGCAGTTCGAGCCGGATTCGGTGGCAAAGCGATGTGATGACGCCCGCAACCGTCGCGCACGCGAGCCAACTTTTCTCCGCAACGGAACGTCCGTTGACCTGAAAAAACAATGTTTCGCGCAAATCCTAACATTCAAATCGCATCCATGATGTAGCAGTTCCAATGCGATTTGCCAAGAACGACTTGCAAAACACAACACAATGGCAAGACACCTCACCTCTACTCTGCACTACTTCTTCCTCTACGCTTCTCTTCTCTAGTCTTCTCTACTCTACCTCTACTCTGCCTCTAGCCTACCTCTACTCTACCTCTAGTCTACCTCTACTACCTCTACTCTACCTCTTCTGGACACAATGATCTCTGGGATCTATTGAGTATGTACGCACATGCCCACTGGACACAATGATCTTTGGGCTAGTGAGAATGTGACTTCATGATCTCTTGACACAGGTGCCAACTGGACACAATGATCTTTGGGCTAGTGAGAATGTGACTTAACGCAGGTGCCAACTGGACACAATGATCTTTGGGCCAGTGAGAATGTGACTTCATGATCTCTTAAGGCACATGCCGACTGGACACAATGATCTTTGGGCTAGTGAGAATAAAACTATCCGGAACTCCGAGTTTCCTCCATGAAACTTCCTTTGACAATAGAGTAATACATATATATATATACAAAATAATAAATATAGATATATATATATATTTAGATATATACACATAATATAGTATACATGTAATTTAATATGTATATATATATATATTTATTTATATTTTAAACAGAATATATATATATATATATAACATTTACTGTATACTATATATTTATATAGTGTACAACATCTATCATATGTTCATACATCCCCAGCTGGAAAATCGGGCAGAAAATTGCCATGTTCCAGGCAGCGGGGTGCGCGGCATGCCGGCTGAGGAGCATGGGCCAAAAACTCCATAGGTTATTGGAGATTACGGGGGAGATTGTTGACGGATTGTTGGGGGATTATGTACTGTAAGTTATAGGTGGGGGATTGCGTAAGTTATGAAATTGGGGGGATTATGATAGCGGAAATTGGGATACTACCAAGGTATACCCCTTGGTCATTTTTGTTGGATCTTTTTTGAACCAACTACAGCGGAACCGTTAGATAAGAACCGATTAAGAATTTTCCAGCCTACCCTGGGGATCTTAAGTGCTATAGGTGGAAAATGTAGGAATTATGAACGAGGGTACCCTCAAGTTCTTAACGGGTTAGTTCTTAAGGGGTTCATATGGTGAGGGTTTTGCCAATTCATTTTGGCGCGGTATTGGGTTGCAAAGGAGGCGGGGGGAAGAAACACATTTTTTTAGGTCCCGAAAAGTTTTTCAGGTGGTAATTAGGTTGCAAAGGAGGCGGGGGAAAGAAAAAAAAAATGGTCCCGAAAAGTTTTCAGTTGGTTATTAAGTTGCAAAGGAGGCGGGAGGAAGAAAAAACGTTTTAGGTCCCGAAAAGTTTTTTCAGGTGCAGGCATTCCAAACAGAGCTATATATAGGCCAGATATTCCAGCATGCTAGGGCTTGAAAGTTTATTTTGGCGTGGCATTAGGTTGCAAAGGAGGCGGGGGGAAGAACAAACAAATGGTCCCGAAAAGTTTTTCAGGTGCAGGCATTCCAAACAGAGATATAAGCCAGATATTCCCGGATGCTAGGGCTTGAAAGTTTATCCGTGCGTGGTATTAGGTTGCAAAGGAGGCGGGGGGAAGAAAAAAACTTGTTAGGTCCCTAAAAGTTTTTTCAGGTGCAGGCATTTCAAACAGAGCTAGGCCAGATATTCCACAACGCCAGGGCTTGAAAGTTTATTTTGGCGTGGTATTAGGTTGCAAAGGAGGCGAGGGTAAGAAAACAAATAAGGTCCCGGTCCCGATTCTTTTTTTCAGGTGCAGGCAGTCCATGCCAGGGTTTGCGCATTTATTTTGGCGTGGTATTAGGTTGCAAAGGGGACGAGGGGAAGAATGAAAATATTTAGGCCCCGAAAAGTTTTTTCGGGCGCATGCATTCCAAACAGAGCTATAGACCAGATATTCCACCATGCTAAGGTTTGAAAGTTTATTTTGGCGTGGTATTAGGTTGCAAAGGAGGCGGGGCGGAAGAAAAAAATTGTCAAAAGTCTGGGCCCCGAAACAATGCAGCACAGGCAAGACAAGCCAGGACAAACATCTGAAGTCAGATGGGCTCTAGTGCGTCTGGCTGGTGTCGGGCTCCGCCTCTTGTGTTCGGTCTTCCTAGCCGCAATCGGGCTCGAGTCCCTGTGGCGCTGGTGGTTTGCTTGCTTCTTGCGTGCTTCCTCAACAATCTCAATGTTTGGCATATTGACGCCCGTTAAAGGGGAATAAGAACCAGTGGCTAGAATTCCAGGGGTACCCTAGGGTTTTTATTTCAATTAGCTGACAGAAAGGGTTGGATCCAGCAATCCAGCCCTTGAAGTTCTTATTGCAGTAGGTTCTTAAACAGTGGTTTCACTGTAGTAACCAGTATAATGATTCACTTTTTGGGGAATCTACCCTCTGGTACATCGGAAGTCTGTGTGCACATGTTCGCTAAGAAACTCGGTTTTTCAGAACATGAGTTGTGTTATTCTTTGGTTTTTATTTCTGAACCGGAAATCTGCTGAAGGAGCATCGTGCCATTGAGCAGGGTAAAAACACTAACCTTGTAAATGCTCATACTCCGGTGTTTTTTATTTTCTTGGGACATGTACCTTCCTCAACAGTTTTTGTTTTTTTTCTGAAACAAGAAAACGCGGGAATAACATGCCATTGAGAGAGAGCGTGTGAGTTCAGACCTTCGAGATCCTTCGTGTTTACCCATCCGGCTGCTGACGAGACCCAATTGTTGCTTCCGGGATGCTGAAAAGATAAAAGACTCCCTTTACCCTATCTATATATATATACGTACATGATTACATTATTATATATGACAATATATAATATTTTATAATCCCCCTTTTCAATCTTTGAGTATTGGGTCTATTCATTTGGGGTCCAGTGGCGTCAGGAACTGAAAAAGAAAGACCCGGATGCTGAGATCGAATCTCCCACAGGCGCCAAGTGGCCACGCGGCGGAAAAAGAGAGTGATTGATGATTGGTGCGATCCAACAAGATGTCGGAAGCCTAAATTTGAGTGAAGATGCTGACGTTTGAATCAGATGAGATAGCTCTCTCACCGGATGATGAATCAAAGTCACGAAAGAGGTTGAGGTAGTCCAGCCCGCTTTAATATCTCAGGTGGTGTTCCTCCATGCTCATTCGTAGCTCAATAAACCCTGCAATCTCTTAAAGGTTGGTAAAGGACATTACCAGGAGCCACCGCTCATCCACATATTATTGGTGCTTTGTTCAACCTGTGTCATAAATGTGTATGCCATGGCTTTCCATGGTGTGTTCAATGAAATACTATGCTGATCTCATATGATTACATAGATGTAACAAACCGTCTCTTTGGTCCATTGTGTTTTTTTTTGCTCTGTTACATTTAGACTTAGACCGTTATATCATACAAGAATGCCCTAGAAACCATCATACATAACCCAGTCCCCTTAATACTAAACACGCCTCCAGAAACAATGGTCTAGTAGTAGATATATATATATATATACGGAACCATTTAGGGGGTGCTAATATTATGGGGATGGGATTCATCATGTGTATATATATATACAATCATACTGCTTTGGTACCTGGGTCCATTAGTTCACCTTTTGCATGCTGCGTAGGTTTCTTCTCGAGTTGTAGATTACCATGCCCTGTAAGGTAAAAGTAGCGCTGATCTTCGTTTTGCTTGCATGTTCAGTTGCTACCAAATTTGGTAGCGGGGCGTATCATGCTCCAGGGCCGGTACTTCAGTCGCCTGATGTTCGGCACAGGGACGTCAGACGACTGAGGTGCCAAGGCTTGTTGATGCTCCGATGGTTGGGTGGATCTCCAGATTCTTGGATCACACATCAGCTGCGAGCATTGCATCACTTTTTCGAATTTGACATCTTGAGCCCAATCAGTTTCTTGCAATCGTGTAGTCAGTCATTCTTGGGCAGTGAGCGTGCTCCAACTTCAAGCGATCTTGAGGGCGAGTCGAGCACCCATTGCTTTTGGAATTGCGATTTTGATACAACAGCGGTGGCCCACTTTTGCATCAACAGTACAGCGACAAGCGCGGCGAATTTTTTTGCAGAGTGAGAGCCCTCTGCAGCAGGGGTTGCTGCAAGGCACAGGAACGACAGTAGACAGCTTGAGCAATTCTTTTACAACAGTTTTTTCTTGCACAGCTTCTTGCGACGTTTGTTCGGATCCGGGAACAGTGCAACAGGCGGTTTTCAATCAGCAGTCTTGCAGCGGTCGTTCACAGTGCAGCAACGAATCTCACAGCAACAGTTTTTTCGGTGGACTCTGCAATGAGCGGGAATTTGATCAAGGTCCGACACATGACAGTCCCTCTAAGCAATGCGAATTCAAAATTGAACCAACAGAAAATGAGATGACGTTTGGCAGCAGGTGTTTTGCAAGCCAACACAGTGGAACCTCCGACAATCTTGAACCATTTACAGGTTTGGACAAGCCGGGGGCTGGACCTCGTGCGATGACATTGGGGGCTGGACCTCAGAAGCGTGCTTGTTCTTCAGACCAGTCCATTGGTGTTCCAAACGGCTTGACATCACTTGTGGGCATGAGCGAGACGGGGGCTGTACCTCGTGCAACGACATTGGGGGCCTCACCTCATAGCCTCGCCGTTTTTGGAGATGACGCATTTTGTTGGAGTGATCAGATGTTGGATGACTACGAGAAGTTGCTCATGCCGCCAGTCGGCGCAGGTGGACAGGCCAAAGAGCCTGAATTCATGGTGCCTCAGGTTGACGCCATTTTGGCGGACGATGTCCCTGGGGCAGACAGCTCAACGGCAGATTTCGTAGTTCAGTCAATTTCTCAAGGCAGTTCAGAAGGGGAGTCATGTAGCCCCGATCAGGTAGAGCCAAAACCCAGGTCCCAGAGCAATCACCATGACATGTTTCCCAAAGATCATGTTGAAACTAGTTTGGTTGAACCCATGACGTACCCAATTTCAATCGATGGTGTTCCAATCTCAGGCAACGGTGTTCTCGTCCCAATCCATGAGGAATCACATGATGTGTGGCATGAGCATATTGACAATATCACATGCGATAACCATGACATAGACATGTACGGTCACTCACAATGCACACATGACCACACACGCGCACGCACCAATCAGCCAGCCTTGACCTTGAGTAGCAGGAAGACCCAGGTTCCTGTCCAATCAGTCCTGAAAGTTTTGGTGTGTCTCATGTTGGTCGGTTTGCCAGTCTTGTCAAGTGTCTGTCTTGCCACAACAGCTGTTGCTGATGAAGTCTCCGAAGGCCATGACATTGTAGCGAATGTCACCAAATATTCATCAGCCAGCCACCATCCGAGATCTCTTGTGCATAGATTGAGTGCTATCACAGCGTGCATCCGATTGCCCAAGTGTTTGTACTTTCCATCCCGATCTTGATGTTTGTCTGTCACATGTTTCCAGGTGCCGGTGGTAATGCGTTCAGAACACCTCCAGCATGGGGCCCAGAGCAGGAGTCAACGTACCCGTTTCGTCAGTGGTCACGAGACGTTTTATTATGGTCAATCGCTTCGGATATGGAGCCGGCTAGAAAAGCTGCGGCCGTGATGTTAACTCTCCGTGGAGCTGCGCGCGAACTAAGCCGACAGATTCCACCCCAGGCAGTTGTTGCGGGGGGTCTTATAAACGGGGTGCAAGTTGACCCGTTAACCTATGTCATGCACGCACTGCAGGAAAGATTCGGAAACTTAGGAGAAGAAATTCGTGTGCAGTCCATCACCGAACTCATGAGTTTCCACAGAAAAGGGAATGAACCAGTAGACTCACTTCTTGTTCGATTTGATAGCATTCGATCAAGAGCTGCAGAACAGGGCGGTGCCGTGGTCGGTGTACAGGGTGTTGCATGGATCTTGTTGAGAGCCATTGGAATTACAGATCAACAACTAATCCAGCTGCTTGCACCTTTCAACGGGTTGTTTCCTGCAAATGAGGCAGAGTTGAACCAACTGAAGACCAGCTTGAGACGCATGGGGCATATCCTTGAAAGAACCCCTGGAAATCTACGTGAAGGACTGAGATCATCTACCAATAATCCATCCAGTGCCTTCCTGGCCAACGCAGATCCTTGGAATGAGCAGCCGAGCCATGACCAATGGAACAGATATGACGACCATGCATCTCATGAATGGGCTGGACAATCAGCCTTCAATGCATCCGCATCATCACAGCCATCACAGCCATCACAGCCATCCCATGAAGCCGCTTATGCAATGTTCGAGGATGAGGACATCGACACAGACTCAAACACAAGCTCAGGCGAGTGCAGCTCAGTGAATGCCGACGGTCAAGACCCCAATCGTGTTGCACAGACCTTGTTTTGGGCATATAGGCAGGCCAAACATAAGTGGAGAAAATACATGGGTAAATCCACTAGGGCTGTGAGACGCTATGCAAGAAGATTCAATAAGTATCGGGGAAAAGGCAAGGGAAAGAAAGGCAACCCAACCTTCACTGTAGGCAAAGGCAAAGGAAAGAAGGGCAAACATCCTGTGACAGCCATGCTTGCAGAGATGGATGATGGTGAGGTGCAGTTGGCATTGCCCGCGTTCAGAGGCCATCGGTCGCCAGGAAAGGGTAAAGGCAGAAGGTCTAACCCCAAGGGTCCAGATGGTCAGACCATGCGCTGCTTTGAATGCGGCAGCACAGAACATCTTGCCGGAGCATGCCCCAGACGTGCCTCCTCGTCAGGATCGAATCAAGCCACAACCTTCTTCACACGTGCAACCGATGCCAATATGTCAGTCTTGGGTCCATTGTCAGGTATCATAGATGAAACGGATGTTTTTCATATGACCAGTGCCGATAATGTGACTTTTGCAACTCATGCTGATAACCCCGAATCAGAGCCAAACACATACCATGCATTTATGATGTCATCAGGTGAAACGGATCCTTTGGAACAGAATGACCCATGGAGCAGTGCAACAACCCATTCATGGTCCGTTCCAACATCCGCACCCCGCAGTTTTGGTCCCATAACCAGTGCAGGTCGTCCCACAACGCAAGCCTCATGGTTTCCCTTTGGTGCATTCGGACGCAGATCAACGACATCAGAGCCAGCCATATCTCACAGCAGTGATCAGTCTCGTGTTGTGCCACCATCAACACCTCGCACTGAAAGACCTTTGAATCCAGGATATGTGCCACCTGAACCGAGGCCATTTCCAGTGAATGCTCCTGGTAACCCATCCCAGCCTGTGGATGAACCACCCGCTGAAGCGACAGCTGGTCGCAATCAGCCGAGTATGCAGTGGGCATCAATGTCACAGATGCCAGCGGAACTAAGGGATTTGCTGCCGTTCCCTGTGTTGGCACCGCCTACAGTGCCAGCCTTTGCAGATCGACCGGAGTTTGAATTTCTTCGCATGGATTCCCAGCAGCAGTTGCCACATCCGCCATCACTGCGCGAGCCACAGCTTTCGATGTTGGAAGGTCCTGTCAGGCCACAGATTGAGGATTTTCACTTTGTACAGCAGCATGTTGCATATCACCGCCATCAGACCAACCGTGACATGCCCATGAACCGACCAGCTGTGCAGATGAGATCCAATCTAGATCGACAGTACCGAGCCCAGATGTTTGAATTCCATCAGACACAGCAACATGTTGAAAGATCCCGCAAACAGAAGAAGGAAAGATCGCGCCAGCCTCGCCTCAGCACAGAGGAGTCAGAGTACGATGGGGCACCAGACGTATGCCCGTTGTGCCGTGAAAAGTTTGAGGTTGATGAATCTGTTCTCAGACTGGTTTGCAAGCACTTGTACCACGTTGAGTGTTGGACTGAGTACATGTGCCATGGCGAAAGACTAGTTTGTCCTGTTTGCCGGGGTGGCTGTCATGTTGTTGCAAGGTATCGCATTCCAGCCGATCAAACATCACCACCATTGCCACCATCACGACCTGTAACTCCAGAAAGGAGCAATGATCGAGACACTCCAGATGCATTCAACATCTTCACACCACCACCAGGCCGTGCCCCGCGAGGCACCAGTGATTCGTCAGCAGTAGGAACACCGTTCTTTTCTCCTGATAATCAAGAAGCATATCCTTGGTGGCCCAGTGAAAGTTTTGAACCGACTGCAGCATATCACTCGATATCCATTCCAGATCGTGCCGGCATCATCATCGACCCAGGCGCTTACACGAATTTGATCGGAGAAAACACAGCCAGAGCATTCGCCCAGAAAGCCATCGAAAACGGTCACAAGCCCAGGCAATGGAAGATGAAACCAATGTATGTGCAGGGTGTTGGAGAAGGACAGCAGAAATGTGAATGGATTGTATCAATCCCGATTGCATGCAAGCTTTCAGTTGGTGGAAAGACGGTGTGCCTAAACTATTTTGAGGCCCCTGTTGTAGGCGCGCGTGGTGCCAGATTGCCGGCCTTGTTGGGCCTCAGATCCCTCACATCGTTGTCAGCCACTCTATGCATGCATGAAAACAACGAAGCCCTGTATGTGCCACTGCCTGGAGGGCCAATTGAAGACTTGCATCAATGCCGAAAGTGCCCACTGTCCAAAGCACCATCCGGCCATTTGATCATGACGATTGACCACTGGAGGGAACTCGCCCAAGATTCCCGAGCAGGTGTGCAGCCGAAGCCCATGGTGTTGCATGTTGACCCACTGCAGCCGTCGACACCGAGCACCATGCAGTCACCCCTGTAGCGGCAGCCAATTCCCAAAATAGTCAGGAACCAAAAAATTCTGACTAATCCTAGCAACTAATGGACTCCAAGATAATCCACCACAGAGCCCGCCTGCAATAGTCCCATCAAGCTATCAAATGAATGCCCATAGTCCGCCTGATGTAATCTCCTCTCATAATAATCCTGATGTGACTACCCATAATCCCCCAGCTGTAGCCCAACCATCTTGTAATAATCCGGTAACATCACAAGCTCTGGTGTTTGAAGAAACCCCGATGTTATCCAATGTCTTACAAGATGCAGGTTGGAAAGCTGTTCGGTATTCACCACATCAGATAAATTCAGGAAACACTTCGCAGATTGCATTTGACATTAAGCAAGGCCATTTTAAACTTTTGTGGATTGACTTGCCTCAGATTGGACGACATGTGTCCAAAGACCGTATGCATTCGATGCTATCTCAACTTTGCAGGTGGCTACAAATCGCCAGTGAGGTGGGCGTAACAGCGTGTGTATTTGGCGCCTTTGGACATTCATGGAGTAACGAAAACTTCCAAGTTTTGACCCAACAGCATAAGTTCCACAAGTCATACCATAGAGCCTGCCACTTTGGTTTAAAATTGGACATTACTCAGACGGCCCCAAGTAAGATTTGCTTTGTCCTTTTGAGCAAGCCAAAGGTTGAATCTCACCTTTGCAATTGTGAAGCTTCGCAGAATGAACATAAGCTTGATTGGAAGGGTGAACGTACATCCATTGCACGGCGACCAAGAATGAAGATTCAGCAGTATATCGCACAAGCAGCCATCAAGAGGTTGATTGATGCACACCGAAGAAAAGAAAATCACAGGGTGCACCATGACACACCCGACTGCAATTACCTAATGCAGAAGCAGTCGACTGAGACCTCAGCACGTGGCACAGTTGTTGAACCTATCCAGAATTCGTACACTGTCCGTGATGAACCAGCCAGTCCACATCATGTCGTACCGACATCATCAGAACCAATTCCTTGTTTTCAAACCGAAGAAAGATTGCGACAGAAAGAGCGGCTTAAGAAGATGAAAGAGGCAGGGGAGAAACCGAGAACCCGCAAAGTTCATGTTGAAGATCATCATGATGACTGTGGGACAGATCACAGTGCCCTTGCGCCGTTTTTGGATTTTGAGGTAAGTGACTTGCAGCAGCAGCAGCAGCAGCAGCAGCAGCAGCATGAAGTGGCTTTGTATCAGGCCATCGATGCATTGTATGACTTTGAGTGTGTTCAACTCAGCACTCATAGCTACTATGCCAACAATGTTCAACTTGCCCTGAATGTCCTCGCACCACTTGCTTCAAAGATTGACATAGTCGAAATTTGTGGTGGTTCCGCCAGAACCTCCACAATGTGCTTCCGCAAGCATCTCAAGGTTGGATCTAATTTTGATTTGGTAACCAGCGTAGACCTGAATAATCCCAAAGACCAACAATTGGTAATGCAATATTTCATTGATCATAAGCCTTTGGTAGCTGTCATGTCTCCCAGATGTTCACCATTTGGAGCCCATTCAAACCTGAACTACAAAATAAATCCAGATGGTTGGGAAAGAACATATCAAGAATCAGCACCACATGGACGTTTCTGTGGGGAACTTGCCTTACACCAAGAACGTAACAATCGGTATTTCCTCTTAGAACAACCTCATGGCAGTTGGCTGTACGAAGAATATCCTTGGAATATCGTGTGTTACCTACCATCAACCATATGCGTCACCATCCATCAATGCATGTTAGGTCAAGTCGGTCCCAGCAACCTGCCAGCCAAGAAACCCACAGACTTGATTGCAAATCACTCCAAGCTACTTGAGCCATTTAGAGATGTCTGGTGTGACCGAAGTCACCAGCATGACACTTTGGACAGCGGTAACGCCAAAAGCTGCGAAAAGTGGCCTTGGGCCATGGCTAGAAAAGTGTGTGAAGGAATCATCATGTTGAAGTTGCACTTGGAAACCTCTATAGACCCTGAGCATTTTGCATTCCCTACTCGTAGCACTAATGCTTCTGCTGATGACGAAGCCCGAGCCGATGAATCTTGGAGAAAGTGCCCAGGGTGCCGTGGACGCCAAAGCAAGACAGATCCACGACACTCGCGGGTCCGAGGTGAATGCATGTGGCCAGATGTTAAACCGGTAGTATGGGGTTGTCCAGGTTGTAAACAACATAAACCGTATGGCCATCCGTCACACACCCATTCAGAAAACTGTAAACATGCCGTGATAGCCCACAGAACAGGTGTTCCACGTACTGGCCGACATCCGAGACCACCAGACAGGCCAGCATCAGCATCGGTTGCTGCAGATCTGCAACCCCAGCTTGCAGATGGAACCGATCTTGGTGCATTGGATGAAGCTAGGGCCACTGGTAGCAGTGTTACGCACGATGGAAGAATACCACAAGAGCCTCCGCCAGAGATCATCCGACTTGGTAAGTATCGCTCTTGGACTGTTGCGTGCAACGGCAACCCAGCCGTAGTGCATGACCGATCAAGTGAGTTTGCTGTACCAAGGCATGAACATGAAGACCATAAGTATCGAACTACTTGGGCCAGAACTAACCAACGATGGTATCAATTGGAGTTAGCAGTAAATTGGTCAGACATGGATAACCCGAATGGTTTATTGCCAGGCATTGCTAATCCCTTGATAACCATTTTCCATCCGAGCCCAGATATCGACCTGACCCCATTCCTAACTACAACCAATGACATAGTCCCAATCCACCGAGATAATCATCCCAGAGCATTCCAACCACGTGCATCAGCCAATAAGAACCGCCGAACATTCCAGGATGCAGACGTTGGTACCGAGCATCCCGGGGATTGGTCAAGGTTCAATGTTGGAAGATCGTTGAAAGCTTTGAGCGCTGGTAACAATGCCACACAAATTCGTGAATTGAGAAAACTTCACCTAAGATGGTGGCATGGGAGCAAAGAAGCTATGAAACGTGTTTTATCAGCAGCTGGCTTGCCAAAAGAAGTGCTAGATAAGATCCCTCAGGTAGTAGATACTTGTCGAGAATGCCGCAAGTGGGCTAGACCTGCAAATGAAACTATTCCAACATTGAGGATGACTACCGCCTTCAATGAGCATGTTGAAGCAGACTTGATGTTTTATCGAGAACATGTCATTTTCCATTTAATTTGTTGTGGAACCCGCTGGCATGCAGCGACTGTCGTCCAGACCAAGCAAGAACAGGAACTGCTGACAGCCTTGAATCGCATCTGGATGTCCATCCATGGACCCATGCAGCAGCTCATCACCGATGGCGAATCGGCTTTGACCTCCGACCGAGTGCAAGCCCAGCTGAAAAGACAAGGAACACTTGTAAAGGTGAGGGCACCAGGTCAGCATGCCAGATTCATTGAGAGACGAGGAGCCATCCTCAGAGTGACACTGCACTGTTTGGATAGTCAGTTGATCAGAGAAGGAATCAATTCCAACATGGAAGATTTACTTGCAGAAGCAGTGTTCGCTGGAAATTCCTTAGTGCACGTAGGAGGAGTGACACCCTATCAATGTATCTATGGACGAACGCCTGCTATGTTGCCTCCACTGCCAGAAGAAGTCGATGTGTCAGGAGCTGAATTGGATGAGCTGTCCGATCGCACCAGACATAAAATTAGGACAGCTGCCCTTGAAGCCATGATTCAGGCAACTAGCCTTGCAAGAACATCACGTGCCATTCGATCCAGAGCCATTGCTGCCACAGAAGTTGTCTATCGCAAGGGTGACCTTGTTGATTATCATCGGCCAACCACCAAAGATGTCTCAGGTTGGCGTGGTCCTGTGGAAGTTGTGGAATATAAACCAGAAGATGGCACGGTTCTAGTTAGACTCAATGGTCAGCCCAGACCATGTCGATTGCAAGATGTCCGACACACACTGTTCGCTCATGTGTCATTCCAAGTGTTTGTGACAATGCCGACAAAAGAAGCCTTGTCAGTTGTTAAAAGATTCACACAAGAACTACAACCCCGAAAGTTTGTCACACTTGGTTTGATATCCCAAGAAAATGGTGAAAGCAGTATATCACAAGCGACCAGGTCACATGGACATTTGTTGGAAGCTCTGAACCACCTGATCGAGTATGCATGGTGTTTTGATGAATGCAGCTCAGTCCGCATTGGCAAAGGCTGCAAATCCTTGCCAGCCATGCCAAATGCGACCCATTCAACACTGCTGTATTGGAATGACAAGCACATGACTGAACCACATGTTTTCGTCGCAGAAAGCACCAATCTGCAGCTCACCGAAATAATGGGAGATGACTGGTATAACACCTCATTTGTTCAACTGATTCATAATAATGAAAATCCCTCTGGATTGTGTGACAGCATTGATGCAACAGCCGCCAGCCACGGGGAAGAAAATCATGGCCAGACTGTCATCCCTGATGCTGCCAGCGACCGTCTGTCCACCATTCCAGAAGGCTCCAATGAAGATGATCAGAATTCCGATAACCCTGAGGGAGTATTCCATGCATTTATAACCAAGCACTTTGACAAGCCTGCAGGTGATGAAGAGAAAGCAGCACTTCATGACCTTTGGATGTTGCACCAGGACACCATCGAGCAATGTGCCGAACAACCGCCTGTGGAAGAAATCCCAATGGTGTATGTAAGCCCCGAAGATCCATACTATGAACATGATGCAATTAATAATCCCAGTAGTCCTCCCGAATTAGACCCGGATGAACCACATATAACCGAACTTTTAGTCCTCCCAAACATAAGTAATTGTTTTGGTGACCCAAGCCATCTAGCACTGGATGAAATGTATTCCATCAAAATCTACAACACTGTCAGCAAGGTGGAAGTCATCAAAAGAGCTTCAGACTTATTGACCAAAGAAGAGATGGTTCGTCATAAGCCGCAAGTCGAAGCTGCTATCCTTGAGGAACTAAAGATTTGGAACAGTTACAATTGCTTTAAGATGGTTCCCCGTAAAGGTGCAGTTAACATCATTGATTCTAGGTTTGTTGCTAAATGGAAAGTAAAAGACCCAACCAAACCATATGAAAGCAGAATAATCCGAATGCGAATGGCACTAAGAGGATTTAAAGAGTGGTGTGCAGATGCTTTGGATACCTATGCCGGAACTGGATCCAAAATATCGCAGCGCCTGCTCCTGTCAGAAGCAGCTTGTCACCCTGAATGGTCCTTCCTGTCCCTTGACATAAATAAGGCTTTCCTACAAGGCGTAACTTATGATGAGCTTGCAGAAGCCACAGACCAAGAGGAACGTGTGGTTCACTTTACGCTTCCTAGTGGCTCTGCTCAGATCCTTCGTCGCATCCCTGGGTATGAAAATTATGACGAAAGGTATTATGTTCTTAAGTGTCTAAAACCTGGCACAGGATGCAAGGATGCGCCCCGAGCATTCAGCATGAAACTTGCAGGTGTGACTCGTAGTGCAGAAGTTGGACTCAAACCCTTAGCTGCCGATCCTGAATGCGAAGTCAAACACGTCAATGGCAAATTAGTTCTAATCCTTGTAAAGCATGTGGACGATCTTAAGATAGCTGGCGAAGAAAGAGAAGTCCGTTTGTTGTTGCAAGCATTAGAGAAAACCTTTGGCAAAAGTGACCGAAATAATAATAATTTCACATGTGTTGGTATTCGACACACCCGAAGTCCAGATGGCACTATAACTCTCGACCAAAATGAATATATTAGTGCCCTTAAACCTATTCAACACCCAGACATCACCGGTAAGCCAATGGATGAACCTTGCACTGACGTTGTGATGAGACTGTATTGGTCATTGCTTGGAGCTGTCGCTTACACTCTGCTGACACAGCATTGGGTAGCCATATATATAATAGCCTTGCAACGCCAAACGCACAAGCCTCAATATCAACATATCCGAAAACTGAACTCACTGCTTAAAGTGCTCCAGAAACAGAAGGCAGTGATTGTGTACCCAGCCATGAAGTGTGCCCGCAAAATCATCGCCTTTTCAGATGCATCCTTTTGTAAAGAATCAGAATCGAAAGGGTACGGTGTTCATGGAACCGTGTTCCTCAGGTGTGGCATAAGAAACGATCAAGAGTGTTGCCATCTAGTTGACGCCACGAGTCAGAGTTTGAAATTAGTCACAAGAAGTACTTTCAGCTCGGAGACTTTGGCGGCGGTTGGAACGGCAGATGCGCTTATCCCTTTGGTAATTTCAACAATTGAAATCATACGCGGTCCATTTTCCCCAGCAGAGCTTCGAGCATTTAGAGAAGGATGTTCTACAGAGTTCAAAGTAATCCTTGTAATAGATGCCATGAACCTCTTTCAAGCTTGGACTGGAACGTCATTGAAACTGCCTTCAGAGAAATCATTGTTTCCCCATATTGCTTGGCTTCGTGATGTTGTGAAATGCGCGCCAACGCACTGTGCTTGGTGTGACACCCGTGATATGCTTGCTGATGGAATGACCAAAGGTAGTATCTCCAGAAGTGAAATTCTTAACGCCATGATTGGTATCTTCAGCTTTAAACATCAGATTCACGAACATCGATTCCAATGCATCGATGACAGCGCACACGTGCACGCACAGACACACACCTCATGACATGCCATACGGATTTAATCTATGCCACAGGGGTACAACCATGATCACACCCGACTGCTTTGGTACCTGGGTCCATTAGTTCACCTTTTGCATGCTGCGTAGGTTTCTTCTCGAGTTGTAGATTACCATGCCCTGTAAGGTAAAAGTAGCGCTGATCTTCGTTTTGCTTGCATGTTCAGTTGCTACCAAATTATCATATTTGTAACATATACATATTTATATATACACAATCATATTTGTAATATATATAGTCATTTTTATGTATGCATAATTTGTGTGTATATATATATGTGTATAATTAAATTTACAATCATATATATATATATAACCATCTATATGTAACCATATATATAATCATATATATATATCATATATATATAATCATAATTGTAATTAACATATAAATATATAATAATAATATATTTAACTATTTCTAAATATTATAATATATATGATAATATATATATATATGATAATATATATGAAAATATATATGATAATATATATGATAATATGTATGAAAATATATATATGATAATATATATGATAATATATATGAAAATATATATGATAATATATATGATAATATATATTATAATATATATAATCATAAATATAATCATATATATATAATCATATATTTACAATCGTATATATATATATATACATATACATGTAAAGTTAAAGGATCTATATGTATATATATATATATTGTTTCATATATATATAATATTTACGTATACATATATAATCACATATTGGCATAATCATATATGTATTATCATAGCACGTGACATACATCGTGGGCCAGGCCCGGCGACCGGATACGTGGCACAGAACCAGAAGAAGGAAAATTTCGTCGCCACTCGGCATTGTTGATGGTTGGTGGCTGAAAAAATGCCGAGTGATGGATGACGGTTGAAGGAAAAATTGATCATATTTTTGATCATATTTCTATGATGGTTGACATATGGTAAATGCATATGATGGGATGATTGATGCAGAACCAGAAATGTCAATGAAAGTCAACTTGGAATTTTAGTATGAATGTGGTTGAATCCAATTTCAATAGATGCAACTTCATTAAACAAAAACAACCTTTTGGGGTTTACTAAGACCATTTCAGCTGGACATGCTTACATCACTAGGGTGTGTGTGTTTGATGTTCCACCCCATTTGGAAGGACCATCGGATTGAAACCTCACAAATCTAAAGCATGGGTGGTTTCTTCTGAAAATGACCAGCCTGGTGCGAATTCCTTGGGACCCTGTTTTTTGCCCATACATCTTTGGGAAGACTATGCGGCTGAAATTGAGTTCTGGCAAGAGCTACAAATCATGATACTGTGGTAAAGCCAATAATAAGGCATCCCCAAGTCATCACGAGAAATGGGTTGTATAGGCAATCCCTAAATGGTAGATTCATCAATGGGCTTACCACGTTACTATATTTGCCAGAATCCACATCATGAGCCAAATACAGCCGTGTCTTCACCACCACACGGCGACGTGGTCGTGGTGATCATACCTCGTCCATTGAGCGGCTCCGAAGAATAATTGAAACCAGTATCAACATAAACTAGTACAATCTAGTACATGAATAATCTGAAAACACATGAATTGAAACATTGTTTACCATCTATTGAAGCATTGCAACATTAAATTCATTTAGTTTCTGGCAGCAAAAGGTTGGTTCAAAGGTTTCCAGAAACCACTGAGGTTCGCAACACCTTCATTGCCCGGGGCCTAGGGTTTAGGGTTGGATTATTTGGCATCCCATGTCATCCCCAAAATGATAGAAAAAAATCAAGAACACGCTAGAATATATTGAAATAGTGATAAATCACGTTTTCTATCTTTTTAGGGGGTTGCTACAATTATGGATTATTAATGATGATTTTAGACTGTTACAGCAATCCCCGTTGTTCTCCCTGCTACTGGGGTCATCCACAGTATACAACAAGATGTTGGATTTCAAGAGAAGCCATCTTCAAGGTTTTAGATTGTGAAATTGTGTAACCCCTACTTGGGATACTTTGCCAATCTTTGCCATACCCTCAAATGGTTGGTAACTGGGGACTCAATCAACAACCATCCCAATCAAGGGACCAACAGTTGGGCAATAACGACTATTGAAACAATAGTATTTGAAAGTATTGAGCATATATCATAATATATATATATATTACATTGTGTATATCTCTATATATACACACACTTCTATTGAGTTTCAGCTATACATATATATATATAATACCAAAAGCTGCTACCAGCTGAAGCGCAGTCCACTAAGGAGCAGATCCCAGGCACACCGTCTTCACCCTTGGATCGACAGGTTGTGGCCGGTGGGGCCCTTTTTTCGGGTGATAACAAACAGCATAACTGGGGGGATACTTGGAGGATGTAACTATAGTATTCATGGAGGTTATAAACCAACAAAAAAAGGGGTGCACTAAGTGCACTACCTTGAAGTAAAATCTCGGAGCATGAAAAAGTCGACCATAAATCAATGATGAGCTTTTATCTATGGTAGCACTGAGCCACTCGGTGTCTCGAGATTTACCAATTGGTTGGGTGGAGATCGAGCCATCCGTGTTGGTCCGGTTTCTTACAGAATATACGCATAAAATATTGCTGGGTCAAACATCACCTGGCTGGTGGTGAAGCAGAGATTTATCACCCTGCCAGGTGATGTTCAACATGCTATGTGTATCAATTTGTCGTAGTTCATCGCTGTGTTGATTGATGAGGTCCACAACAACCAAAAATAATCCTAGACTATCCCACAACTTTTCCGAGATTGACTTTATCGTGTTTTCTGGGTTTCTGTATTTTCTTCGTGTTCAATCCAC